CGAATGACACAACATGAACCTTTGTACTCTTTTTATAATAATGCTATCGTCTTTCTTAAGTAAGTTTAACGCTTCACGTTCCACTCGTGTGAGATTAGGCTTTTCGTGTGTTATGGAAAGGTTCACTATTTGGCTATTCATACTCGCAAATGCTTTCAATATTTCAGGATGGATGGCGGCCTGAGGGGGTGTCCACGTGGATTTAGGAATAAACATTGTTCTAGCACCACGTGGGGGGTGGTTTCGAAAAAAATATTTGCAGCTAAGATTTCGTTGAAATCGTTCAATGGATGGTCGGAGATAATTCAAGTTAGCTATCTTTGTTGTGGGAATAAATTTAAGTCCACGGTCTAAAATTGAATGCTGAAGGGGTGTGAGAATTTTGCGGCTCAAGTTAACTACAGTTTGGCCTAGCGGTGGCCTCTCAGTATTTTTATCCCCAGTAATTAGTTTAAAGACTCAAAACAGTCCAAAATGGCGGCTTAACATCCATGCATAAAATAACAAGGTTATATATTAGGTTTTAGTTTGCTTTTCATAAAATTCATCAAAAGCCGGTGTCTTCTCACAAAAGAATTATTTCTTAAGACCTTCTTAATGGTTTTCTTGACAATAGCATGATAGATTTCTAAACTATAGACTAATGGATCTGATTTACCACCAGGCATTAAACCCAAATTAGAATTACGATGATGTTAGAATATATAGGTCTATATATAAATTTTCTTAAGTTTTCATATAATCCTTAGTTCTTTATTTTCAAAAATTCTATTTACAATATTATGCATTTCATGGAAGTTTATAACTTTTAGATTTTATAGATTTTACAGTAATCTATAGTTAGGTTTTTATCCTTTACATCAATATGTTTATAATCAACATTTTACAGTCATCTTAGTTAGATTTATATCCTTTACACCAATGTTTATAATCAACATTTTACAGTAATCTTAGTAATGTATATCCTTTACATCAATCTGTTTATAATCAACATTTTACAGTCATCTTAGTAAGGTTTATATCTTTTACATCAATCTGTTTATAATCAACATTTTACAGTAATCTTATTAGGTTTATACTTTTTACACTAATCTGTTTATAATCAACATTTTACATTAATCTTAAAATATCTGAAATTGTCCGAATTTCTAACCTTTGAGATTTTTGCTTTCAGGGTTGTCCCTCTGTCTACCCCCTATGCCCCCTCCACTTTGGCTTCGCCACTGGCAACGCTCTGTTAATAATCAACATAATACAGTCATCTTCTTTAGGATTCGGATAGAAGTGGATTGAATGGAAACTACCGTTTAGAGTGAAAAGCAAATTTACTCATACTTGGCCGATAACCGATAAATCTATAGACAAAGTAATCATTATCCATACACTAAAAATATTCTTCAATAATATTCTGGTGAATATAATCTACTCTTGTGAGCCAAGTTTGAGAATTAAAATTTTATTTTTGTTCTAAAAAGGTAGCATTTCTTTAAAATCAATATTTTAATGATCAATATTATATTCTAAGTTCCTTAGTACATATTAATCTGAAAAGTCCATTATCATTTTATAATAGTTCTGGGTGAATAAAACAATTGCTGGAATTATTATAATTTACATAGGCTTTGACTAGCTTGGCAGGTAAGCATGTCTATGTAATAATTTTAGTGATAATTAAGTTTCATTACGTCTGTCATCTCACAAAACTTTTTGATTTCTTTGCATTGTAAAGATGAAAATCGGAAAACGTATAGAGCAAATGTTTTGATCCGACCCTTCTGCTTATAGTCTGCCGATCTGCAAATCAAATAAAATTGCATATTTTTCGTGAGATTTTTGGCAAGATCGTCCTCAAGTCTATAACTGGAACATTTTAAATTTCGACCTAATTTTTCTAAAATTTGATTTGCTAAAACTGAAATTTGGTGTGATACATTGCTAATTTTAATTGAACCGTATTATATAGTAAATTTAGTAATTTTTTTATACGCCCACATCTCTCTATGTGGACGTATATTGTCGGCACCCCTGTCGGTCCGTCCGTCCGTCGGTCCGTCCGTCCGTCAACATTTGCTTGTAAACGCTCTAAAAACTAGATTTTTTGATGGAATCAAATGAAATTCGGTATGTGTATACATATTCATAAAACGAAGATCAAGTTCGAATTTGAGCTATTTTCGACCGTAAGAAGCAGAGTTATTGCCCTTGCCCCAAAATCTTTATTATTTACCATTCGCATGCCGTGGTGGGCGTATATGGCTGTGGTCCCCTATCTTTTTTATTTTTCAGGTAATATGAAGTTAATAAGTGAAGTGTTGTGTGTTTTTATTTTGTCACTGGTACATTTATGCTCGTCAAACCAATTGACAGGCCATTATTTCAAAATATACCGCAGAGATAAACTTATACAAAAGTTTTATGAAAAAAGTGTTAAAAGGTCGAAACTAGAGTGTGATTTAGTTTGTTCGAGTACGACTGGATGTTTTGCGTTTGGATTCCATAAAATAAGAAAAGATTGTTTCCTTTATGATCATTTTCCTGCAGATTGTGAAAACGTTTCTCAGGACAGTGGTATGTTACTCTTTATACCCAAAGAAGAAAGTAAGTAGTATTTACAGTGTATGTAATCTTCCGAAAGCCTGCGAGTACTCGGACAGTTCGACAGCTCACTTTAAGACTTGATATTCGCAAATTTGAAATCGCGTTAGTAGCAATAAAAATTTGGAATGTTCTTATTAGGTATGATGAAACGAAACAAGAAATAAATGTTGTCATTTTTCAATATTCACGGTAACCTAAGTTAAAATTGCCAAATTGTAGAGAATTGTATATTCTACTTATTTTACGTGTTTTTAGGGCGTTAACAGCCAGTTTTACTATAATTAGTTTAAACTGCTTAATATTATCTAATAAGCAATTGGTAAACCTATGATTTTTAACTTTATTTAAATACGAATAAATTTTATATCTAAGAAACCTTGTGTAATATACAACGTTTTCATCTAAAAACATACATAGTTGAGTTAAAGTTGACAAAAAAGCAAGGTATCCCTTCTTCTTTAGACTATTTATGTCTAGTTCTTCGTATGTCTCAAATTTTAATAGTAAAACGTCCATGTGGAAGCAAACATTGCTATGTTGGCATGAGTTATCTTGTCTGACAAGCTAATTATTACACGAGCCTCTGTGTGTAATTTTTATTTCTATCTATTCAGATAAAGAAAATGTAGCCATAGGAAAGCCAACAGGGATATCTACTATAAAACACAATATGCCGTCATGCAGAGCCGTGGATGGTGATTTTACGACCTTTTTTCATACTCATAAAGTAACTTTCTCTTGGTGGTGCGTGGATTTATTGAAATATTATGATTTTACAAAGATCACCATTTATAACAGAGACGATCCAAGTACGTTCTTTTTTATAGATAAAGTCATTTTTAATTCGCAAAGTTTTTTCTGAATGTAGGTAAATCTGTCACAAAGTAAAACAGTTACGGTGGTAAATTGGTCACTGTCGTCATGAAGTTGTGAAACAAACTTCTGTGCCTATAACACAAGCATAGCCTAATAAGTGAATAGCTAAACAAGATCTGTATACAAATAGAAAGTCTTCTAGTATCCAACATTATTTTACAACTTGTTCGTGACCAATTTACCATGAGGCCGATTTGTTTTGTGACTAATTTACCCTGCGACCGATTTACCTGAATTCAGACAATATTTTGCAAGTACCAATTTGTAGTATGCATAAGAAATTGTTTCTTTCCACAGCAATACACATGTATATGTTTAATTTTTCTTTAAAAGTTTAGCCTTATAAATCAAATTAGTTTTACAAATGTTTAATGCATCTGTTCAAAGACTTTTTTCTTTTTTAGATACGGAACCTAATAGAATAAAAACTTTTGAAATTGGATTTAAAAACGAAGGAAGCTGTAACAATGCAACCTATCTGGCAGCTACTTGGTGTTATAAAGACGACCAACAAGTTCAAACAGTTTACCATATAACCGGATGTAACATGTCACCAATCCAACCTTTTGGTTCCCGCTTCATCTTTGTCAAGTTAGAAAGAGTTCCAATATATCCTTTACATTTTCGGGAGATGATTGTTTCAGTTTCTTAACTATATTCCAATCAAGCGGTTGCGCCTGTGGGGGCCAAGTGAGTGAGGAGGGTTGACATTGTACCCCCATTTCCTTTCCGAGAATATGATTTTTTACCCTTTCCCCAGATATGAGTCCAAATGCATCAAATCAATTTTATTTTTCCGAGTCAAAACCTCCTCAGAACCTCCTTGGTGGGTTTCAGGCTAAGTGACTCCCTTTTTGGACTCTCAATCCTTACATTAACCCCATAAAGTCAGTCTGTGCCCTTATTTGCACCCCCAGTTTCAGATGGTGGGCGCCGCCACTGATTCCTTCAAGAGAAATGGGTGCAACTATATTGTTGTTTTGATTATTTGTAACTGTTTAAATCACGAGAGACTATGTTATACTGGACTACATGTATTTCTACAATCTAAAATTGTAGATATAATATATTATATTATATTGCAATTATCTTTTAAGTGTTTACGAACTAATTCTAACGTTACCATTACATGTGGAATATACATCAAATTTATGCCCCCTGCAACGCTGGGATTTTGTGACGCGAACAAATGGTGCATAATTCAGTGACTATTGCTATTCTCGGAATACACCTTTTGTTCGCGTCAAAAAATCCCAGCTTTGGAGAGGGCGGAAATTTGATTGGCTGGCAGTATTATCAAACTGACCAGTGTTCAACAGGCCTGTCGTTAGACCCTAAAGAATTAAAGTGGTTGGATTTTAAAAAAAACACTAATAAAAACGAAATTAAAGTTTGGTCTAGTTTTAATTTGACTGGTTTATAATTCTTTCCAAATATCTCTATATATATTTATAATTTTATTATTATATTATATGTAATATTTTTAATGTTTGTATAATTGTATAATGTTTCTATAATTGTATAATGTTTGTATAATTATATAATGTTTATGTAATTGTATAATGTTTGTATAATTGTATAATGTTTGTATAATTGTATAATGTTTGTATGATTATGTATTGAGACTGCTAATTAATTTATATATTATTAAATTATTTATCTATATCTTCATTATTTACCGTTTGTGATCTATTTAAAGGAACAAGTGGGCCATTTTGGGGGTTGATTTTAGTCTTGATTATAATGCAAATAGTCTTCAGAAGTACTAGAAATATACTAAAATCACATAATTCCTTTAAAAGTACTTCAAACTTAGGAAATTTTACTCACTATTTCTATATATGTCTTTTCTTTATATCACAGAGTAACTTAAATTGACGAGTCGTCGTTTTAACATTCAAACGCAGATAATTTTGGACAAACATGGATTTGAAGGCTCGAATTTCGACGGTGATCTGTGAATACTATTACTGATTACCACAGTTTCTGAGACTGAAGTATGATTCGTCCAAAAATGGCCTGCCTGTCCCTTTAACTATATCTATTTATATTTGATATGTAATCTTCATTTTTAGATGAATAAAAGAGTATAAATCAGTAATCTTAGTAAAGTTTATATCATTTACATCATCTGTTTATAATCAACATTTTACAGTAATCTTAGTAAAGTTTATATCCTTTAAATCAATGTGTTTATAATCAACATTTTACAGTAATCTTAGTTAGGTTAATATCCTTTACATCAATCTGTTTATAATCAACATTTTACAATCATCTTAGTTAGGTTTATATCCTTCACATCAATCTCTTTATAATCAACATTTTACAGTAATCTTAGTTAGGTTTATATTCTTCACATCAACGTTTATAATCAACATTTTACAGTCAGCTTAGTTACGTTTATATTCTTTACATCAATCTGTTTATAATCAACATTTTACAGTCATCTTAGTTAGATTTATAGTCTTTACATCAATCTGTTTATAATTAACATTTTACAGTCATCTTAGTTAGATTTATATTCTTTACATCAATCTGTTTATAATTAACATTTTACAGTCATCTTAGTTAGATTTATATTCTTTACATCGATCTGTTTATAATTAACATTTTATAGTAATCTTAGTTAGGTTTATATTCTTTACATCAGTCTGTTTATAATCAACATTTTACAGTTATCTTAGTTAGGTTTATATTCTATACATCAATCTGTTTATAATCAACATTTTACAGTCAGCTTAGTTACGTTTATATTCTTTACATCAATCTGTTTATAATCAACATTTTACAGTCATCTTAGTTAGATTTATAGTCTTTACATCAATCTGTTTATAATTAACATTTTACAGTCATCTTAGTTAGATTTATATTCTTTACATCAATCTGTTTATAATTAACATTTTATAGTAATCTTAGTTAGATTTATATTCTTTACATCAATCTGTTTATAATTAACATTTTACAGTCATCTTAGTTAGGTTTATATTCTATACATCAATCTGTTTATAATTAACATTTTATAGTAATCTTAGTTAGGTTTATATTCTTTACATCAATCTGTTTATAATTAACATTTTACAGTTATCTTAGTTAGGTTTATATTCTATACATCAATCTGTTTATAATCAACATTTTACAGTCATCTTAGTTAGGTTTATATTCTTTACATCAATCTGTTTATAATTAACATTTTATAGTAATCTTAGTTAGGTTTATATCATTTACATCAATCTGTTTATAATCAACATTTTACAGTCATCTTAGTTAGATTTATATTCTTTACATCAATCTGTTTATAATTAACATTTTATAGTAATCTTAGTTAGGTTTATATCATTTACATCAATCTGTTTATAATCAACATTTTACAGTCATCTTAGTTAGATTTTTATACTCTACATCAATCTGTTTATAATTAACATTTTACGGTAATCTTAGTTACGTTTATATCCTTAACATCAATATGATTATAATCAACATTTTACAGTAATCTTAGTTAGGTTTATATTCTATACATCAATCTGTTTATAATCAACATTTTACAGTTATCTTAGTTAGATTTATATCCTTTACATCAATATCATTATAATCAACATTTTACAATCATCTTAGTTAGGTTTATATCCTTTACATCAATCTGTTTATAATCAACATTTTACAATCGTCTTAGTTAGGTTTATATCCTTTACATCAATCTGTTTGTAATCAACATTTTACAGTAATCTTAGTAAGGTTTATATCATTTACATCAATCTGTTTATAATCAACATTTTACAATCATCTTAGTTAGGTTTATATCCTTTACATCAATCTGTTTATAATCAACATTTTACAGTCATCTTAGTTAGATTTATATTCTTTACATCAATCTGTTTATAATTAACATTTTATAGTAATCTTAGTTACGTTTATATCCTTTACATCAATTTTTTTTATAATCAACATTTTACAGTAATCTTAGTTAAGTTTATATTCTTTACATCAGTAGCCGCGCTTAGACAGCCATAAAAACTGGCCCACTTGAAGTGAACCGTACTCGGTCCGGACTCGGCCCGGTTGGCCTGTACCGTTTACACAGCACTGTTTTCAGAGGGCCAAAATCAAAAGTAGACCTGCTCTCCAGTCAGAGGAGGCGAAAAAAACACAAACATACAAAATGGCGACCGCTTTAAACAAAGCTATGATTTTGAAGTTTTTGTTGAATTTGTCTCGTTTAAAGCGCACCTTAAGAATCTCCAATTTTTTTTTTGAGACACACAGCAATCTTGTGATTATGACTGGCATCTTCCAATTGAACTTGGACGATCTCGTCACCCCAAATAGCGATCAGAGCTTCGGTCTCTTCATCACTCCATGTAGCTCCCCGTTGGCACGCATTTTAACAGTAAGTCGATCCTTTTTTGTCAAAGTTTAGCCTAGATTGTTGTTCCCGCGAATAAAGTAACAGGGTCAAGGTCATTATTGCGCATGCGCACAAGCCCCCTGCTAAACATACTAGGTCCGGACCTGGCCCGGATAAATTGTGGCTGTCTAAACGCGGCTAATGTTTATAATCAAATATAGCATATCAAATATCTGAGATTGCCCGAATTTCTGACCTATGAAATTTTTGCCCGTAAAACTTTCAGAACTGTGACGGGGTGGGGGCGCTCCCTCTGCCGCCCCTCTGCCCCTCAATATTTTAATGATCAATATTATGTTTAATTAAGTTCCTTTGTACTTATCAACATTCTGAAAAGTTCATTATCATTTTATAATAGTTCTGGGTGAATAAAACAATTATTATAATTTACATAGGCTTTGACTAGCTTGGCAGGTAAGCATATCTATGTAATAATTTTAGTTATAATTAAGTTTCATTACGTCTGTCATCTCACAAAACTTTTTGATTTGTTTGCATTGTAAAGATGAAAATCGGAAAACGTAGAGCGAATGGCGTTTACATGGTACATGTTAAACTGCAATCTTAGTTTTTGATCCGACCCTTCTACTTATAGTGTGCTGATCTGCAAATCAAATAAAATTGCATATTTTTCGTGAGAGTTTTGGGCCAACTCTCGGTGGTCTGTCTCAAGAGCTAGAGTCGTTGGCAAGATCGTCCTCAAGTTTACAACTGGAACATTTTAAATTGCGACCTAATTTTTCTAAAATGCGAATCAAAATTTTACTTGATTTGCTGAAACTGAAATTTGGTGTGATACATTGCTAATTTTAATTGAACCGTATTATATAGTAAATTTAATACCAACTAATTTTTTTTTTTTTCAGATAATATGAAGTTAATAAGTGAAGTGTTGTGTGTTTTTATTTTGTCACTGGTACATTTATGCTCGACAAACCAATCGACAGGCCATTCTTTCAAAATATACCGCAGAGATAAACTCATACAAAAGTTTTACGAGCAAAGTGTTAAAAGGTTGAAACTAGAGTGTGCTTTAGTTTGTTCGAGTACGACTGGATGTTTTGCGTTTGGATTCCATAAAATAAGAAAGGATTTTTTCCTTTATGATCATTTTCTTAGTTAGATCTATATCCTTTCCATCAATCTGTTTATAATCAACATTTTACAGTAATCTTAGTAAAGTTTATATCCTTCACATCAACGTTTTTAATCAACATTTTACAGTAATCTTAGTTAGGTTAATATCCTTTACATCAATCTGTTTATAATCAACATTTTACAGTAATCTTAGTTACGTTAATATCCTTTACATCAATCTGTTTATAATCAACATTTTACAGTCATCTTAGTTAGGTTTATATTCTTTACGTCAGTCTGTTTATAATTAACATTTTACGGTAATCTTAGTTACGTTTATATCCTTTAAATCAATATGATTATAATCAACATTTTTCAGTTATCTTAGTTAGATCTATATCCTTTACATCAATCTGTTTATAATCAACATTTTACAGTAATCTTAGTTAATGTTGATATTAAATCTAGAAGATTTCACTAAATGCATATATACTCTTATTGACCACGTTTGATAATTTGAATTTTAGTTTCATTCTGAAAGATTGTATTTCTTTAAAATCAATATTTTTAATAATCAATATGTCCCAAGTTCTTCAACAATATTAACAATCTTAAGAGTTTATTATCACTTTAAAATAGTTCTAGCAGAAGATGGGTGTATAAAAAAAATTGCTGGAATTATTATAATTTACATAGGCTTTTACCAACTTGACAGGTAAGCATGTCTATGTAATAATTTTAGTAACAATTAAGTTTCATTACGTCTTTCCTCTCACGAAACTTTTTGAAATAGGCCCACGTACGCAACCTTTTGCCTGGTTTGCATATTTACAAACAGTGGAGGTACAGGGTGAGGGCATTTGCCTGCTAAGAAAAGTGGTTTGCATCCAAACTTTATTTTTGATAAATTTAAAAATATTATTTTATACGTTTTTTTTTACCTTATAAAAAATGTGTCTGAATGCACCAAATCATTTTCATTTTTCGGAAATTTTCTTGGGAGAACCCTCTTAGCACAGACGCTCGGCAAGAGACTTTTAATCTATAACGTCTCCACAGAGTTGCTTAATTTTTTCCTCAATGTTTATCATGTACTCATTAAAATTAAAAAAATTAAAAATCATGTACTCATTAAAATTAAAAAAATTAAAAACCAAATAGAGTTTTCTGAAACAAATAAATACATTATATTGAATATTGAAATGCTTTCAAGATACAGCCAATTTCAACAATGTCTTATATATCTGTGATTACATGGGTAAGTAACTCAAACACAAGCACAAACTCAAAACGTGATATATGTCCGTGTACGTTGATTGCGCAAAACCGTCAATGTATATTATTCATTTATTAAATGAAAACCGCGTGTTATTGGGCCAGGAAACGAAAGAGGGAAGGATAAATCGCCCACAGTAATGATGCCATAAAGGGGATTCCCAAATATTGGAACTTAGACAGCTGTCAGCCACCCGCAAACGCAAAAACCGAATCGAAGCGTAAAAAGGTATGAAGACTAACAGTGCATCTGGGAACTAATAGCGGAGACACAGGCCTGATTTTTTGGGGTAATCAATTTTACTTTTTATGAAAGCATGATAGCTTTAAGAATATTTTTGATTCATTTATGATATATTTTATTTTAGTACATTTAAAACCAACTTATTACTTTTAGTTTTCAGATAATATGAAGTTAATAAGTGAAGTGTTGTGTGTTTTTATTTTGTCACTGGTACATTTATGCTCATCAAACCAATCGACAGGCCATTATTTCAAAATATACCGCAGAGATAAACTCATACAAAAGTTTTACGAACAAAGTGTTAAAAGGTCGAAACTAGATTGTGCTTTAGTTTGTTCGAGTACGACTGGATGTTTTGCGTTTGGATTCAATAAAATAAGAAAAGATTGTTTCCTCTATGATCATTTTCCTGCAGATTGTGAAAACGTTTCTGAGGACAGTGGTATGTTACTCTTTATACCACAAGAAGAAAGTAAGTATTATGTAACCAGTTGTAGCGCCAGTTGGGGTACAGGGAACGGTGGGGGTGGTGCATTTGATATACGCGCTCTTAATATTCGCTTTGTGTGCCCCTTCATGATCGGTTGTAAAAATTCACTGACAATTTTAATCGTCGTGACTGGACGAAAAAATACATCCGTCTCCCCTTCGCATTCAACCAGGACGTGTTTTAGCGCACTCCCAACCGTTTAATTAGTTTAAACTGATCAATCAGGAATTTTTTTCACCCCTTCTAATACAAATTTAAGTTGATGAAGTAGAAATATTTTATGTATAATTTACAACATTTTTAATAATAAGCTTTGCATAGGCCTACTACTGTATATATAGAAGTTCAGTTACCGGATGCAATACAAGCAAAGTATCTCTTCATCGTATGTCGCAAATTTTTATGATAAAACGTTCTTGTTGAAGCAAACATTGCTATGTTGGCATGAGTTATCTTGTCTGACAAGCTATTTATTACATGGGTCTTTGTATGAAATTTTTATTTCTTTCTATTCAGATAAAGAAAATGTAGCCATGGGAAAGCCAACGGGGATGTCAACTTTAAAACACAATATGCCGTCATGCAGAGCCGTGGATGGTGATTTTACGACCTTTTTTCATACTCATAAAGTAACTTTCTCCTGGTGGTGCGTGGATTTATTGAAATATTATGATTTTACAAAGATCACCATTTATAACAGAGACGATCCAAGTACGTTTTTTTTTTAATGTCAATAGAAAAAGTCAAAACGAGCCCTTGTAACTCGCAAGATATGTTCTGGATTTAGGTAAATTGGTTACAAAGTAAATTGGCCAGGTCACAAGCTCACAGTAATTTGGTCACGAGGTAAATTGGTAAATTGGTCACACAGTAAATTAGTCACAAATTAAATTGATCATAATTTAAATAGGTCATAAGATAAATTGGTCTAAAAAAAAATATTGTGACCAAATTACCTTGAACAGTACCTACTATCTAAAGCCTAAGAGAAAAACAGTTTGGCCTTATAAACCAAATGAATTATTGAAATTAAAGATGTATTTGTCGAATGGACTGAAAGCCTTTTTTGTTTTAGATTTTGAACCTGATAAAATAAGAAATTTTGAAATTGGATTTCAAAACGAAGGAAGCTGTAACAATGCAACCTATCTGACAGCTACTTGGTGTTATAAAGACGACCAACAAGTTCAAACAATTTACCATATAACCGAGTGTAACATGTCACCAATCCAACCTTTTGGTTCCCGCTTCATCTTTGTCAAGTTACAACAAGTTCCAACAGTACCTTTACATTTTCGAGAGATGATTGTATCAGTTTCTTAAGTGTATACCTTCCAGTGGTGGCGTTAGTAGGGGTATCCCCACCCCCTTCCCTATATAGATATTTTGTAAACCCACTTCATTTCTGCGAAATTTCCAAATATGATAATTATACTCCCCAAACTCCCAGATCATAACCTCCCTGGCAACCTTAAAGTTCATTCCCGACAGTAACTCCCATTAAGTCAAAATCAATATGTTTATCTGGGTGCAGCTGTTTGTTAAATACCAACCGATGAATATTGTTATTGTAATCAGTCAATAAATTGATGTTTATTTCACTACATGCGAAGTCATTTACCGGGATTGGGCATAAGTGATGTATAATGCTGGTGCAAACATTGATTTATAGAATTTACATGGGGCATCTTAAACTGCACCATTTGAAGGATCAAACTGTTCAATCACACATTATTTCCTCATCATGTCCACCTGATGTATTACAAGGTCACAATGACAAAAGCTTTACAGCGGACATGGACAGGTTCGACATTTTCAGTGGTTGATTTGGGTCTTGAATATATATAAATAGTCTTCAGAAGTATGAGAAATGTACAACAATGGCATAATTATTTCAAAAATATCTCAAACTAGAAGTTTCACTTTCATGTCTTTTCTAGTCTCCAGAAAAGACGAGTCGTCATTTTAACTTTAACGAAGATAATTCCGGACATGGATTTGAAGGTTTGAATTTCCACGGTCAAACATGGACACACAAAACGGACGGTGAATCTGTCCTTTTAACACAATGTGTCGTTGATAGTGGCCTTGAAAGTTTGGGAACTGGGGAGATTTACTTCCAAAATGTGCAGAACCACTCAGTTATGCACATGGATGGAAAGAATTACCTGCATGACTTACATGGAATTTATACAGATGGGTATTCGAGTAGGCCTACTTAAGCTAACCCTGATCCAAGTACTTATTTGATAAATAAGATATTTTTTGTAAACTTATTCTTCGACTCTTTCATCGAATCAATGATTTAGTAGGCTACAAAGCTAACAACTATACCAAATACCCATTAAAAATAGTATTGATATACCGGTAATTGAAAATATCCAATGACCCAAAACTGAAATAAATGGATTAATAAATAATAGAACTTAGACAAAATATCAAGTATTATATCTTGTTAATTTGATCAAGTCTACCGTGAACAAGGATTTCGTTAAATTTCTATAACTTTTTTGTATAAAATAGTTGGAATTTATTTTGCAGGTCGGAAAAATGCGTTTAGCAATCCAAGAAACTTAGTAAGTAATATTTTATAGCGTGACAAATGGTAAAATCTGTGAATTATATTGAATATTTAATCCAGATGCGGAGAAACGGTTTTTAACGAATTGATCATTATATAGTCTTAATGACTTGGGGTTGATTTATTCTTCAAAAATCGATTCGTGTCATTTTTATATCACTAGGTGGAGTTAAAATGATTTTCAGTGGTCTTATCTAGATGGGGGTGATATTGAATCGATAGCCGTTTATTGGCTCCCTTACATAGTTTTATGTCTCCCTATCATTATGTATGCTGCCCAAAAAGGGCGAACAATACAATAAATATCTATCTATCTACACATAGCATAGAACAATTGACATTAAGTATCTATATCTTTTTGATTTCGTACAAAGACACTGTAAATGAATCAATCTTTACTGAATTTAAGAAGAATTTGCTGGATCTTAAGCCTAATGCTCACTTGCTGGGCCCACCACCCACAGACTCTTGCCTAACGACGGACTGATTATAATATATTATGTTCTAAACAATGATGTACGGTGAATTAAGAGAAAGATATAGAATTATAATTTATGATGTTTTAGATAGATATTTATTGTATTGTTCACCCTTTTTTTAGTTTTGCAATCCAAGAAACTTAGCATATATTATATGAGGTAATATTTTATAGCGTGACAAAATGGTAAAATCTGTGAATTATATTATTATGTATTTTTCGTTCATATCGTTTATTATGTTTATTTTGTATTATTAAAATAGATAGAATCATATGTTCTTGGTATCGTACCACTGGTACGGTTATAACGACCTGATGGTACTTACAAAGTATCTGGTCATTCGATTCGTACCATTAGAGGAGACAAAATAATCTGCATTTATTCTACTTTCGACAACTCTACAATCCCAAATGGTATTCCAATGTCGAGTCTAATGCACCACTTATCTTATGAGACAATACGGAAAGCCCAGAGCCCAATTCTTTGAAAATCTCAGCGTTAGACGCTAAGGTGGTACGATAACAGCAACTCTACCCTATAAGGTGAATTAAGAGAACTATATATATATATATAAGCTAGGCTTACACATAATAATGTATCATGTTTTAAACATTAATATAGGGTGAATGAAGAGAGCGATATATTCACCTTAATAATGTATCATGTTCTAAACAATATCAACAATATGTGGTAGAAAAGAGAGCGGTATCACCCGATAATATAGGGCCTATCATGATTTGGAGGATGATATAGACCCAGTAGTAGTGAGAAATTCCCAAATAATGTTAAATGTCCAAAATGTAGGCTAAATTTATAAAATAATGCTTTACTCGTATTTTAAACATTGCATATGCTACAGTATTTTTTTTTAATGCTGTTGGTTAGGTCTAGGCTATCACTAAATATAAATGTGTCGTCGTTGGCAGAATGATCACGTTTACCAAAAATAGCTAAGGACACTAAAAGTGGGTGATATAAGGGAGGCAACTCCATTCAACCCGGCGAAGTAGTCACGTGATAATACAACATGGCGGACAACACAGCACCACCCCCATTTGACGATGAAGAAGAACAAAAAGACGATGAAGACCTATTTGCGGATGCAAACGAGGTGAGATTATAATAATTTTGTGATCCAACGTTCAGTGTAGGTTTCAATCCCAAATTCGTGCTATTTTTATTTAATATTGCTATGGAAATTTCGTATAGAAATCGGACAACTGTGGCTATTTCAATTTAGTTGACAGTTTTCAGTGTTGAATATTTTTGAGTCATGATTGATTTTGTCAGTCCTATTATTAGAATTGATAAATGGTCATTAGGATATCAAAAGATGAAAAGTTTCGAAAAGTTTTTGTTGCTACCCAGATGTAGCAATGGACAGAATTCTGTTTGTCTGCTTTACTGGTAAAGTTATAACATATTTAGTTAAAATCAAAAAGAGACCTGTACCGGTACCACAAATATAATACAGTGGTGTAACCTATTTTCGTGGATATAAGGATTCAACTCCGAATTACTTTGAAGTTAAAAAAACGTAATTTTTATTTATGTCTTAGGTGTTTCCTCAGATAATCTACCAAATAATTAAAATCGGTTTATTTCGATTTTCTTTATGAATCCTTCACTTTGACCCATATTTCATGAGCAACCAACTCAGCAACGGCGGCAGAATGCGTCACCTATTTTCGGGTACAATGTTTGATCTATAAATAAGTCGAGAAAAACACGTTGTATGGATACCGGGTGGTATAATTAATTTCTCTTAGTATTTATCTTTAATATCAATTCATTATAACTAATGACTATTCCTTCAAAGAACCATGATTTAAAAAAAAAATTATGACTGACAAAATAAGATACGTAGCGTGATTTATTGCTAAAAGTCACTGAAACAACATAAGAATATGGTCCACTTTGTGTTCCATAGAAATTTTCTGCTTACACGGAATCCGCTAGTTGATCACGTGACTTCATTCGTTGGACTACATTCTAGCAGACGACACTTGGAATTCCGATTTCCGCTTGGGATTGTAAGGAAATTCGGCCGATAAAAAATGGTGACGTTTGGTAATAATTGAAATCCGCCATTTTGTATTTGTCAAAGTATACATTAATACATTTTACCTTTCTTGAAACTATTGGATTCATTCTACTAGCTGATATTGTAGAGAAAACCCATGTTTATCAAAACAAACTAATGCGGAGGTTGCGCAAGGTCGCTCATGTAAATTATTAATCATTTCCGGAAATCCACGAATAATAGGTTTCCACGAAATTAGGTTACTTGACTGTACATACTACCTAAATTGATATTTCTTGATATCTAGTTTTGAAATTATCAAAAGGTATGACTTGAAAATTGTTTGGGTGAAGCTGAAATAATTTAAAGTTCTTCAATGTCACATTAAAAGGATTGTTTCCTCATGTGGGTGTTATTTTCCATAGAATTACTCATAATTTCATATAACTTTCTAGATATTTCCTTGTTATAGGGTTTATTTAAGCTATCTATCCATAAAGCATTTTTTAAAATAATAATCTTTTATGTATCATGTTTTCCTACAATTCATTAAATATTCCATGAATGTAAAGAATATCATTACACTGAGGCCATTATTATCATTATCAGGCCCTGTGCACTTTAAAGAGCCCTCAACGGTTGAAAATCTATAAAAATTAGTGCTTTCCTGGCAAGGGTTCCCCCATTGCACACTGCTTGGCATGCCTTAATTCATAAGAATGTAATGGTATATTTGGGTTATTTTCAAGAGAACCAAATGCTTGATTTTCCAAAACTGTGTTAATTACTTTGTTACTTTTTGTTTGAAACTTTTATGTATCAAGCAATTTTGAGTGTGAAAATTGGAATTTTTCTTATAGTTTCTATGTCATATATAAATTTACAGAATATTTGTAATGTCTGACCAAAAAGGATATAATGACATTCAGATATTTGACCTGGAATCCATTGTGAATAGGCTTACCTACCTTCATTTGATTTTCATTAATTTGAAATTTTGTAGTCCACTCAGAAGAAGACTGTTGCCACACCAGCCGAGATAAAGTTAAATGATGATGATGATTCTGATAAAGAAGAAAAGAAAGCAGACGACAATCCACCAGCTGCAGAAATAGATTTGAATGATGAAAGTGAACTGGAAAAAGATGATGACTTGTTTGGAGGTACCATTTTCTTTGATCAATTTCTAACTTTCCCTACCATATTCTAAGCGAAGTAACCTACCCAATCCAGAAAATTTACAAAATGCATTGCATTTATTAAAAATTAGTTGAATTATTTTAAAGGGAAACTTTCAAATACCAGTAAGCTTATGCCTTGAAAGACATAGTTCACCATAGTTTTCTGGGGGATGATTTTGATAACTCAGTTGAACTAGACCAGCACGAAAATTGCATAATCCCTTCAAATATACTTAAAACTAGGAAATTCAATTTCTATTTCTACAAGGGAGTCTTATGAAAAGACCTGTCTTCATTTTAACTTTCGAACGTGGATGTTTCCAAACACACATGAACTTAAAGGCTGAAATTTCAACAGTAAACTGCAAATGTTCATTAGTATTGATTAGCTGAGCTAAAAAGAAAATGTTTATCTCGTGCAGGAAAAAGTTCGGAGGTGGCTCTTGATTCTGATAGCGAGTCGAAACCAGCAGACACCAGCAGTTCCTCCAATACAATTATACAACCTATTATAGAAGCACCAAATTTAGTTAGTGGTAGTGTTGATAAACCTCAAATAAAAGTAACACAATCTTCAACCTCATCCTCTAAAACGGAATCTAGAACTACTAATTCTCATGATGAGGTAAGAATATTTTTCTTAGAAATGATTTTTTTGTTTTTGTTGGCTCATTGATGTGGTATATTTTTATTTTGATCTTAAGCATGCTGTGAAAGCACAGGCATGTAGACATAACCTCAATTGAGATAAATATAAATGAAATTATATATTACCACCTAAAATTCCCCCAATTCTAGAAGTATTTGAAATATTACTTAGCTTTGATTTCTACATTTTTAGTTTCATCTTGAAATACACTAGAGAAGTGGTTCCCAACCTTTCTCAGCCCCATCCCCCCTGGAGCAATCACCTGGACCTTTCATACCCTCAAAAAATTGTTGCATCCACATTTTTAGCATGTGTTGATGTGAGTTGCTCTCTCAATTTAAAATAAATTCTTCTCCTACACCAGTTGGCCACACCCCTGACACCCTAGTTCCACACCCCCAGAGAACCTTTATTTTGTTCCATTTACCAGCTGTCAATTATTTTACTCTCAGATCGAAGTAGAAGATGATGAATACTCTATAACTATTAAAGTAACTGATCCCCATAAAGTAGGTGATGGTATGTCAGCATATATAGCATATAAAGTTTTAACTAGAGTAAGTATACAATTTTAATATTTGATTGGCTTCATCTGTCATTTACCTTGAAATCTTCTGAAAGTCATTCTGCTGTTGGTTCTCTTCCCCTCCCATCTATCCATGCTACCGATTTGAATTCCTCTATGATGGAATAACAACTTTTGAACTATGTGAAAGACAAAACATCCTGAACTCAATCTGTAGCAAGTTGGATTGTTGTCTGTCAGACTGTCATAGGTTTGAATCCAAGGCCAGTACTCTTGAGAGTTGGTCGCCCCTAATACTAATCTGTTGGTCTTTCATATATATATTTTAGGGCATAAATGATGATCAGGTGCTATGAATGAGGATCATTTCCCCTAATAAATCCTTCTATGCCAAAGCTTATATATTTTGATTGTTAGTTAATTCAGGAAAAATTCTCCATTTTCAGACAACAATTCCAGCATTCCGTAAAGCAGAATTAATGGTTATAAGAAGATTTAGTGACTTTCTAGGTATTCATTCAAAATTGGCTGATAAACATGTCCATTTAGGTATTGTTGTTCCTGCTGCACCAGAAAAAAGTGTGCTAGGTAAGTTTAGTTATTTTATCCTACATATATATTAACATTTAAAATGTACATTTTTTGGTAATTAGATGTGTCCAGAAGCACAACTCAACACATGCTTCCATTTGTCTGCACTTGGAATTCACAAGGGAAGAAAATTACGTCAGTGTAAAAGGAAGACCAAGAAGTATTAGGTCAGAAAACAAAAGAGAAGAGAAGAAACCCTTCAAAATAAGATCCCACTATTTTGTCACCTTGCCATCTGTTCGTAGCTGTTTGCAAACGCAAAAAATTGCTCACTGAGTCGTCCATTAGGCTTATGTGAGCACAAAATTGGATTTGCTTAGGGTTTGGTTAGGATTTGCTCTGATAATAGGTTAACAGTAATAACTTCATTCCATTTATTCCAGGAATGACCAAAGTTAAAATGTCAAAGGAAGAATCTGGTTCTGCTGAATTTATAGAAAAACGAAGAGCTTCGTTAGAAAGGTAAGGCTGATAGGCTCATATTGCTGATAATGTAATTTTCTTTCATTTGAGCTTTCTGCTTAGTATTTAGGCACTGAGATGCTTGATTTTGGAAATTAAATATGATTTGGAAATGATTAAAGCCCATGTGCATCAAAGGGAGTTCGATTTGGGTTTTGAATATATGAAAATAGTCTTCAGAAGTACATGACTATCCCTTCAAAAATAACCTTAAACTAGGAATTTCACTTTCTATTTCTATATATGTCTTTTCTATATGTAACAGAGTCTCAAGAAAAGACGAGTCATAATTTTAATTCTCAAACTGGGATAATTCTGGATACATATGTATAGGAAGGCTCAAATTTCGATGGTAAGCTGTGAACACCATTACCGATTAGCTTAGCTAAAAAATTCTATGTTTCTGAGACAAAGATATGATGAACCTCTCACTTTAATGTTCTAGTTTAATATTTAACAGAGGAATGACATGAAACATTCTGTTTAAGGTTTTTAAATAGAACAGCTCAACATCCTGTGTTGAGGAATGATCCTGATTTCCGTGAGTTTCTAGAGAGAGAAGATTTACCTAGATCTACTAGTACATCAGCTCTTAGTGGTGCTGGTGTTATCCGTCTGTTCCATAAAGTTGGTGATGCAATGGAGAAGATTACATTCAAGATGGATGAGTCAGATGAGGTAGGTTCATGGTTTTTTTTTTTTATTTTAAGAAAGTCCTGAAAGACATTTCGATGAATAAAAATCAATTTTCATATTTTCAACATTGCTTGTGTCTGCAAGAGTTTTTGAATTTAGTCTTAATTTAATTTTTGGGTCTTGATATATTTGAGGTAACCAATCTCATAAAAAAATATTTATCAAATGAGTTCACTTATGTTATTTTCCAAGCCTTTAAGCAATGGTAGTAACATAAATTTCACATTGTGTTAACATGTGTTCATAATTACTGACACATGAACACAAGGTCAAGTAGTATATTAAATATGTTATGATAATGGTATTAATTAATTGTGTTATCAATCTTGATTTGATAATTGATTTTTATTTGTTGAACTTTTGTATTCAAATGGACATTATTTTTTGTTGTATTAGACAATCTTTCATACCATGCATGTACACAAATGTGATGCAAACAAGCTACTTGTTGCAGGGGCTTCAAGCTATTTGCTAATTTTTAAGTCAAACGCTGTTTGTAGGAAACTTAAGTTATGTTTTTACCTAATTCATACAAATTTGCACTTTCCAACCTTCGTAAAAGAAACCTGAATTTTGATTTTCTGAACCACTTTTCAGAATGTGATTCTGACGTGCGAGTTTATATACCATAAAATAACCAAAATTTGATATTGCTGTATTCATGCTAATAAGAAAAAAATATATCCATTCAAATTAAAGGGATTGTAAAGAAGTTTTCCTAAAATTTTGTGTGTATTGGGGAGACTGATGTCATCAATTGACACCATTCCAGTTTTCAATCAGATGTCTGTGGTTCTTGCAATTCCACTGAAACTAAGTTTTTAATGTCATCACTAAACTCCAAATATGCTTTATCACAAAAGATTTTTAGCGATTTGTGAAATCACTAAACACTTGGTTTTAGTGGAATTGCAGGAACCACAGATGTCGGATTTGAAACTGGAATGTTGTTAATTGATGCTATCAATGTCCCCGATACACATAAAAGTTTTATAAAATCTCCTTACAATCCCTTATTTATAGAAGTTCGATATTCATTCTAAAAAGCTATTTGGTATATCTACTGGCATGACTGAAACTGACAAAATTTTCACATCAACAACTAATATTTTCAATCTGATCAAAATTATACTCTAGATATTTTGTTTTGCATATTTTCTGTGGGTTATTTTAATCATACTGCGTGTTTGGTCAGCAAAAATTATCAAATCATTTGAAAGCATCGCCATGGTCATTCTGAATGTAAAGAAATTTGTTGTAAGATAAGATGCCCTAAGCTAAACATGGTGGATCGGAGAGCAATTGCCTCGAAAAATAACTTGATTATTAGACACTAAGTTGAAGAAGGTAATCTTCACAATGATGATAAGGTGACTAAGGCCTGTTTATGTATGGCGGACCAGACGAGCTAGGTGAGATGTCCTGGTTTGCCGGGTATCTTGGGTCTGACGTCATGTACGTATTTACTGACACATATATAAAGCGGGCCAACCTGAGTATCCAAGTTCCTCATTAAGTAGACAGGAAAGCCCAGCTATCAGGGTCAAACCAGTATGCATATAAGCCACAGCGCATCCTCCTGGAAATAAAATCCCAAGCCAGCACTCACATAACGAAAGGCAAATATTTCAACCTGGGTAACTAAGCTAGCTCTGGTTACAAGGATGGTCTGTTACATATGACCAGGCCCTAAAGCATGAAATATAAGTTATACATAGTAAAGATTATATAAAAAGAAAATATAAGCTATATATGATGTTTAGGTTATCTATTATGATCCTAATTTTTTATTTTATCAGTGCTTTTTCTATAGCTGAGCATTACTTAAAGAGCTGAGTTTTTAACCTAAGCAATATCAATGTTTTACGCTATATTTTGAAAACAAAAACGGGGTCAAAAATAGGATTGGTGAATAAACCCACATATGAATGCAACAAAATATCTAGAAATGTATTTTAGTCAGACTGTCAATATTTCTTTCTGAATCATAACTTCATTCTCATCAAATCATCTCTTCATCTGCCCATTTTCTGCCCTTTTTGCTGCCAGTGGGTAGGAATTTACCTACATACTTATTTCTGTTCAATTGTCCCGCGATCTCCTTCTGAACAGTGGGAAAATGAAATGGAGGTATGTTTGAATGTGTCTGTTGTCTTCTTTACATATTGTTTTATTCAATCCCTTTGTTATGCTTTTATAGGGGGCGCTCAATTGGTGGGGTTTTTGCACAATCAGAAATCTTGAAACAGGGTTCAGAACGCGTTCCTCTTGAGCTGAAAAAATAGGTGTAGACAGAATTAAAAACGGCAGAGTGAAGATTAGAAGAGAAAATTTTGAATGTGACATATGTGTACCGTTCGATTGAAGCCCAAATTAGAACATCTGCCTGTTCAGCACTAACCAATCGAGCGCCACCTATGTTTGAATTGCTTTGAATACCCTTATGTAAGTTGTTTATAGATGTAGGTATGGGCTTGATCTAATTAACAGGCAATCAATATGTACAGCTCAATGAGATGTCTTAATTTTGATCTTTGACACTTTAGAAAACATGTTGAAATCGTTTCTACTTACAGAGATAGGTGTGGCATTTTTGGGGGTTGATAATTGGTCATGAATATATGTAAATAGTCTTCAGTTTTACTAGAAATGTACGAAATCACATAATTCCTTTAAAAATACTTTTTACTAGGAATTTTACTCGCTATTTCTATAAATATCTTTTCTATATATCACAGAGTATCTTAAATGACGAGTCGTTTATCAAACGCAGATTATTCTGGACACACATGTCGCATCTGTCCCTTTAAGGCAGTTATAAATTAATTCTTATATAAAAGAACTTCAAAAATGCATAGAAATGTAGTGTGAAAGTCATATTAATATGACTAGTTATACTAGTCCTTAGATAGACAATTCATTTGAGCTTCATTTATTTTGAGCTTCGCTTGAATCAGAGGCCTGAGTGTAGTATTTGGCCTTCAGTTAGTCATAGTTTGTTATTGATTTTTCCCTATCATGTTGTACAAGTCTTGAAATTGTGTTTTGAAGAGATTGTAATGAATTCTTCTATTGTTTGGTTTGCTCTCCCACCCCCAGTAATATGAGAAATTTTGTGTTTGAGACACAGATAGACATAATTAAAATTCGATTACAATTCGTATCTTTTTTGTTTTGTGATATTTTTAGTCTGAAAGGTAATCTAGCAAGTTTTTTAACAAAGGTTGTCCCAAAGGTAATATATCTAACCAATCATTCTGACCAATTCGTGATGAACGAAGGAATTGTGGGATATCGAAACCCAAATTAGATCAATAAGATAGCCTCTTTGAGTCTTACTATCCCACAATTCCTTATTTTCATGAAACAAGTTGTAAATGGCATGCTTTGATTGGTTAAAACTAACATCATTTGGACAGACCTGTAGTAGAAAACTATTTAGATTCCACTGTGGACTAAAAATGTCTGAGAAAACAAAAAAGATGAGAAATGGTAATTTATTTTTAACAAGATAGTAAAGAGGTTTCTAAATGTTGTACGTGTATCAGAGACACTGATATCATCAATTTGCACCATTCTAATTTTCAGTCAGATGTCTGTGGTTCCTGCAATTCCACAAAAAACAAGTGATTAATTGCAAAATATGGGGTGTATCACATAATGTCCTTCATTATAAGTGAAGTAATCAAACACTTAGTTTTAGTGGAATTGCACTAACCACAGACGTCTGATTGAAATTTGGAATTTTGTAAATTGATGGCATCAGTGTCCCTGATACACATAACAATTTTAGAAAACCTCTTTACGATCATTTTGATAAGATTGACTTATAGAAAAACCTCTTAACAATCTTTTACTAGTATGCTATATCAATTGTTATATATTTGATATCAATACAGATATAATTAAATTAGTAGGTGTATATTGTACTTAGAGCTAGATAACATTTGTGTACATGCATGATATATAATTACATAATTTATATATAGATATCATATCACTTTACAACACTTAACTCACCATTATATTATAGAAGATATATAGTCATTATAAAATTATTATTTTACTAGCTGATAGAACTCCATAGCACAATATCAAAGTTTTAAAATACATTAGTGTTATTAAAGGAATATTATTTCTTAGGATGACCAAAAAATTCATCACTGGACCTACCGTGTGTCTGATTATACAACAGAATCCCTCTATAATCCCAAAAATCCATAAAAAAAATTTTGATAAAATTACAGGTAATTATTGAAAAACGCTTAATTTTTAGAAGCTTAATGGATTTTTCGTCTATGAACATATATATCTTGGCCAAGTTTGAAACTTTTAATCTTATGTTTATTCTAAGAGGTAGTATTCCTTTAGAGTCACTAAATTTTTGCTTTATCTGCTGATAGAATTCAATTTAAATCTATCTGCTGTGCTATTTAGAATTAAAATGAGTTAAAACTCACATACAGTTCATTGTTCAAGGACAGGAGAATTTGATGCATAATCTTTGCTTAGAGCTCTATTTGCTGGTAAATGAAATAATTACTTTGCAAGATTGTTGGGATATCAAATTTTGACCATTTTGTTTAGCTTCTTAATGGCACTGAAAATCTTTCAATGACTTTGCGTTGATAGATATAAAAAGTTTTATAAGTCATATTTCTTCATCAGAATTTCAACATATTGTCCCAAATTTTGTCTGCAAATTATCCTCTGTTAAAAACAAATTTTTAAGACATAATTTGTACTCATGTTTATATTTTTATCAATGCAAAGACATTCTAAGACTTAGAGTAATATTTTGAAGCTGTTATTCCAACTCTTATGAAAATAATCTGTAAAATTTGATGGCCTTCCAATGCACTTAAAAAGAAATTAGGAATCCATATTCATTGATATTAGTTGCAGGCTGTCCATTGGTTCTAAAATTCCTTAAAAATCCAATATTTTTAGTTTTGTTATATTTGTTTAAATTCAAGGGAAAATCGTTTATAAGCCTTATTTTTTATATCATGACAAGAATTCTGTCGTGAATGGCCTCAGATGCAAGCAAAACAAACTGTATTCAATATTTTCATGGGCACATTTTTGTTACATTTCTTTAGTTTCAAATGGTCAAAAGTAATTCATATGTTTAAAATTGCTATGACTTGGATATATAATTCCTTAATTAGCCAATGTTGAAATATATTCAATGTTGAAACTATTCAATACAATGGATAGTCTGAATAATTTTATATGTTTCTGTTTTATAGTGGTTTGAAGAAAAACAGTTACAAGTGAATGCATTAGATATTCAGCTACGGAAGTTACATACTAGTGTGGAGACATTAGCAATGCACAGAAAAGGTATGTCAACATCCAAAAATCTTTTTAATAGCACCAGTCTAGTTGTTTGAGGTATTAAACTGCAAGATTTGGCCCTGTATCTTCATCAAAATACCTAGGCCCCGTGTGCTACAGGCTGTGCACGTTAAAGATCCCTCGACAGTTGGAAATCGAAAAAGAGCAGGCTAATGCCGCTGTCCTGGCAAAATTTACCTCATCGCACCCTGCATGGCGTTGCCCGTCTTCATTAGCCCACATGGTGCAGAAAAGTAGGACGTAAAACTCCATTCATTTCATTTTCATTTCATCAAAATAGATAAACTACTTAAATAGAACGATATTTCTAGAAGCTCTACTAGCAGTAGCTCTACTGGCCACATGATTTCTGGTGAAACGGCCATTACCAATAGATGTTAACATCAAACACTTTAAAGGAACACTGCTTCTTAGAATTAACATAAAATTTTAGAATTTTAAACTTGGTGAATAAGAGCCAGTAGATATACCTGGTGTCATAAGTAACATAACAGGATCCTTATATAATCCGATATATCCAAAAAACTTAATAATTATCATAAATATGCAATTAACTATTGAAAAACGCTTAATATTAAGATTAAGCATTTTTAATAATTACTTAATTTTATGAATTTTCCAGATTTTCCAGGGATTCGGTTGTAACTTTATGACACCAGGAAAGTTCACTGATGAATATATACTCATATTGATCATTCTTGATAATTAAATTTTATGTTCATTCTAAGACGTAGTATCACTTTAAGTATGGCGTATAACTGGAGTTTTATTTTATTTACATTCAGTAATCAAGAAGTTAAGACAATCTCTTTTGGATTCAGGTATTGATTTTCATGCTTTTACTTTCAGATTTAAGTGTTAGTACAGCATCATTTGCTAAAAGTGCAGCCATGTTAGGAAATATAGAGGAACACACTGGGTTATCCAGAGCTCTGTCACAGTTAGCAGAGACAGAGGAGAAAATAGAACAGCTACACAAAGACCAGGCTGACCAAGACTTCTTTACTTTAGCTGAACTTATTAAAGATTATATTTCTTTAATAGGCTCGGTTAAGGTGAGTGTTTCTTTTTGCTTATTTATCTTTTTGTTTATTTTATGATCGGCCATGTTGAAACCAGAATGAGGCTCATAACACAAACAAGAAAAAAGGTCATGTTGTGTTACTGCATAAAATGGCAACCTTCACATCTTTAAGCTCTTCTTATCAAATCCTAACAACTCAAAACTAATCGTATTTTACATCATTAAAATCAGAATCCGTGAGCCATTTAATGATACTTTTAAATAAAGTTTACCTTCATAAATTTCTGAGGCCAGTTTTAAGCCCCTTTTCGCGTTGTTGATGAGGTGTTCAGTGACGTCACTATTCATTGAAGTTAGCTCAACATTGTGAATGTATGCTTTGGCCAATATATATCCTTGTGTATTTATAGGATGTTTTCCATGAGAGAGTTAAAACATACAAGAATTGGAAAGAAGCTGAATTAACATTAACTAAAAAGAGAGAAAATAAAGCTAAATTAGAAACAAACCATAAAACAGATAAAATTCAACAAGCACAAGAAGAAATTACAGAGGTAAGTACTAAACATTTTCCCATTTTCTTGTTCTTTGGTTTTGAATCTGTCCGGTATTTTTGTTGCATATAAATATAGTTTTTCCTGAAGCCCAAAAAATTAATATCATGAACATTAAATTCTAGTCATAGCCAATAAAGAAAATGTACTGAAAAGCTTTTGTTATCTGTAAAGCTAATTCTGATTTCAATTATTTTTTTAATGCAGTGGAGTGCCAAAGTTGAAAAAGGTCATGATGATTTTGAGAAAATATCTGACAATGTTCGTAAAGAAGTAGCAAGATTTGAAAAATATAGAGTCATTGATTTTAAAAATAATGTTGTACAATATTTAGAGGCATTAATGGACAATCAACAAAAGGTAAGGTTTTTTCTGTTCTAAGTGCTTCTGGGCAATACTAAACTAAAAACTAATAGGATATTTTACAATGATGCCAACTTCTGTATCTTTAGAATTAGGAAATATAGGTTACCAGATTTTCTCATTTTGACAGATAAGACTTAAGATTTAAACGAAGCAGACAGAATGTCATCTTCACAGTGTCAAGCCATGAGGAACTAACTCTTATACCTTGACATCTTTTAGAACTTTTCTTGTATTGTAAAAGTTTGTAAATTCAGTGATTTGATTGAATTTTACACCAATGAATACGTCAACCATAAGGCTTAATGTTTAAAGTCTTTTGGTGTATCTGTTAGCTTACAATCCAATCAAATTGCATCATTCGATGACATCAAAGTACAGGTATTCGACATATTTTGTAATCACCTTGCATTGTGAAGATTACAGAATGTCTGTTAAACAATTCCAATAGATATTTCCCCAAATTTGATATGAATTTTTGACTTGCAAATCAATTATTATTGTAATGTTTCTTTTTGTTTTTCCAGTTAATAAAATATTGGGAAGCATTCCTACCAGAAGCTAAAGCAATCGTATAAAAACCCTGCTCATATATATTTCCTATATAATTATTTTTATGTATTTAAAACAAACCCTTGTATAGACCGATCACTGTTTGTATCTCAGCACAGAAAAGTCTAACTATATATCAACTACTGCATGAAATTTTCACTGCATCTCTGAATTTTGTGTTGGTTTGAGATTAGTTAAATAAAGAAAATTAAGAGGTCAATAATCTATTCAGGTACAATCAGTAATAATCTATTTTGATGATCATAGACTATATATGATCTAAGGATGAGGACTTAGTTATTATGATCATAGACAAGATATATATATTTTGATGATTTATGAACTAGAATGATAATTGAGTTTTGATAATCATAGTCAAGATATATATTTTGATGATTTTTCGAATAGGAATGATGATCAAGTTTTGATGATTATAGACAAGACATATACATTTTGATGATGTATGAACAAGAATGTTTGAGTTTTGATGATCATAGACATAAAAGGCATATTTTGATGATTTATTATTTAAGGATGAGGACTTAGTTATGATGATCATAGACAAGATATATATATTTTGATGATGTTTGATTTTGATGATCATAGACATAAAAGGCATACTTTGATGATTTATATGATTTGAGAATGAGGACTAAGACAGAGATTAGTTGCTATTTTATTGGTAGTAGTCAGGGTTAAGAATCTGCTTAGATTACATGGCTATTCTGATTAATTTGTATTCTATTTCCATAGGTCTATTTTGATGATTTTGATATCAAGAAGGTAGTTTGATGATCATTGCAAATGTCTTCAATTTCATCACAAAGGCATTGCTATGACTTCTTTTGGTCGAAATTTTAGCTGGATCATTTTGGTAGAATTATGAGTAGTTAGGTATAATTTTTTTATGGACTATCTCTAACATTCCTTTCAAATATCTGGATAAATTCAAGCAGTTTATGTAAATGTGTTACATTTAAATGTAGTGTAGACTGTTAATAAGTTACTTGAAAATAGTGCTCCTGAAGACCTTACACAATTATTCTTTGAAAAATATAATGTCTTTGTTCAGTACTTTTCGTTTTCCTTTGCACTAGGCAAATTACTTACACTTTTCATTTTGTATTCCACTTAGTGCCTAAAACCTTTTCTTTTTTTGTTTAAATGTTGCCTATTTGTGCGATATAGTTACATATGATAATTTTGGAAGAATTTACATACAAAACAAGAAATACATGTATCTTTAGATTGACTATTGTGTGACTATGTGTATGTATCAAAATGTCTCTTCTACATTAACTGCTGAATTACTTAATCTATTAGGTTTTTTTCACTTTTGTATTTCATGAAGTAATTTTTCATAAATTTTCATCTTGTTAAACTCTAGAAGACTGATGTAAGAGCTATTTTTTTTTTTACCAATTTTGTATATGCAGTAAAAAACATAATCATGTAATTTTATTGTTAGATATAAGTAAGATTATTTTTGCAATACTTTTTTTTGTTATGTTTTTGTTTGTGAACTGTACAAGATGGATATAAATACTGTATAACACAAAATAATTGTTACTTTTTTTCTGTGAATAAAATCTGTTTAAATTATCGATCAGTTAAGTGAAAATTTCTTTATATTCTTTGCATTGAAGAAAGTAGGTATGTTATGTCATCAGAAACATTTTTCATTGGCCATGATAGACTTTTACCAGACTTAGAGATATTTGGAGTCATCAGATGCAGTAGTACACTTTTTATTACCTCTTTCAGGATCCTTGATCGATTGTATTATCCCCTTCCCCCTATAAATCCTTATAATTTAGTGATCTGTTAGGTTTTCTCTGCATAGAACAACTTTAATTATAATTGTGCTTGACTGCAAAGCTCCTCATTACCACCTTCCACCAGTTTGACAAACCCTGAGAAGGTTAACAAATCTTCAACAAAATCTTACATATTTAAATAGAAAAGGTCAGTATTTGATGGTTTGGCCGATGTTAATTGAGATCGAATGCAGTGGCGAGGCCGGTCTCTTGTACCTTGTGTTCGAATAGTTGGGCAGACTTCCCTAATGGGGGAGGGGGTCAACACTGTGGGTTTGAGATTCCTAATGTCCAAGTCAGTCTGAAGCATCCCATCGAGGGTCTGAGGGAGTAGTTTTCTTCCAAAGGCCTGTACTTGTGACTCTTTTTAAAGCAATAAAAGTGTCATGTAATACTCGGTCTTGAAAACTAGACGGATTCTTTATGTATCACTATCCCACGATTTGTCTTTGTTATAGAAGAGGAGGCAAGATGACCAATTAATAATTACATACTGTTCTTGCGCTAACAAGGAGCTATAGAAAGCCCATAAGATGGTATATTAACCTTATTTTTTACATTAAATTAACGACACGATTCAGTCTCTTGTCGATTCAAGGCCAAGAAAGTTTGGGGTGGTCCAGGGCCTTGGAGCACGATATAGATAAATACAATGTTTGAACTATTTTTAATATTTTTTTTGTAATAAGGTTTCAATTTTGTATACGAGTTTCTTCAATATTTTCAAGTTCTATGCTGGTAACTGAATAATCACTTGTGGATTCTGTTAAAGGCTGCGTTCCCTCGTTTGAGCGTTTTCGACAAAACAACATATTTGCACCGACTAATAAAGCCATTAGGACCGAAAGCGCACCCAACCATGCTACAACTCTAAAATCGGTAGTTGCGGTAAGTTCGTCGTCTTCTATAGTATTGTCTTTTTCACTATTTAATTTTGACTGATCGGCAAATGAAACGTTGAGCGATGCTTTAGCATAACGGAAATCATCCTGATAACCTGAAAAATAAAAAGAACAAATATTCCTTGGCTGAAAACAAAAATAGTACTGTCGATATCTTGAATATAGAAATATGGTAGAAATATTACTCGCTTAAATATTTTTATACATCAAATCAGAGCCATTTACCACTATATAACACAAAATGTTCAGCAAGCAATTCCCCTTGACCCAACAAGCAATGTATTTGTTACCAAACAGGCAGACTATAACGAGCTCTAGTCAAGTCGTCGATGACTGTTCTCTAGTGCTAGTTTCTTTGTACAGATAGAGAGTGAATACTCACCAGAAACATCATTTAAGAATTTCAATTCTACACATCTATAACCACCAATAGTATTTACACAAGTTTCAGTTCCACATGGCTTTTTTTCTTCACATTCATCAATATCTGGATATATCAAAATATCAACATTTCATTATTACCCAATTTACTGAATTTCTTAATTATATCACAATAGGGGCTAATTGCAAAATATTTTTTATGCTTTATCACACAAGGCCCTTTATTGACGTAATTAATGACTTAATTTTAGTGGAATTGCAAGAACCACAGACGATCGATGGAAAATTGGAATGGTGCAAATTGATGCTAAGAGTGTTCTCGTTTTTTTTTTAGAAAACTTCCTTACAATCCCTTCAAAAACATAGATTGCACAACTGAACATACCTATGCAGTTATGATTGTTGGGTGAAAGTCTGTAACCATTTCTGCAACTACATCTGTAACTACCATCAGTATCATCACAGTTCTGACTACATAGACCATTGTTGTTTGAACATTCATTTATATCTGAAAATAAAGAACATATTAAATATTAAATGTCCTACGAAGATAGCTAGCCAGGCTTGGTAATATACGACCACTGGAGGCTTTGATATTGAATAAACAATATTTAGAAGTACAGTAACAATTACCAGTATGAAATATCCAACATTCAATCATACACTTCTTTTGAACCTTTGCGGTAATACCGAACAACATTACCAAATTTTGTCAAAATCTTAATCGTTTAAAGGCTAAAAATTGAACGCTTTTAAAGAACATGGGCAATAACTCATACTACAAGTTTTTCTGATTTTCAGTTGGCAACATCCTTGAGTGATTACAATGACCCACACCAAGTCTCGTCAAAATCCGCCACGAAGTGTGCCTTTTGGAGTGTTTATTATGAACAGAATAACGGATGGGCATGGATGACGCCAATATACACTGCACATCGGAGTATAAAAAGGTGGAAAGTCCAGGACTGATTTCAGAATGAAAATATCTGGAAATAGTATAAGAAATACTAACTATCACAATTTCTACCATTGCCATTCAGTGAATACCCTGTATCACACTGACAGTAAAAACTTCCAAATGTATTGACACAACGATGTTGACATCCTGCTGTCGGACACTCGTCAGTATCTGAAACGAAATCATTTACAATAAATAACATATCTTCATATCTTCAATTATATTATATCTTCCGTTTATTATTATTTTTAATAGAATTTGGGCAGCTTGATGGAAACCGTTTTACTCTCCACCTGATTTCGTAAGACTACATAAATAGTATTTACCTCTGGCAAAGTCACCAGGTGGACCAGGTGGTCCCCGTGGACCTTCTGGACCTCTTTGACCAGTGACACCAGTCATTCCATCAGGACCAGTTATAAACTGAGCTTGATTTTCTGAAAATTAAAGTTATTCGTTAAAATCATAAAAATCTATAGCATCTTACCCCAAAAAAGATGTTAAACGTAAATCGAATCCAAAATAAAACTTAAAAAGAATAGTGGCGGGGCCAGCTGCTTGAACTTGCGGTTAAAATAAGGGGGCAGCGACTGTCAAGAGTTCGGATTCAAAATGCGAAAACACTTCAGAAACGCGAGTTGCCCATAAAGGTCTGTGGTTGTTCTGACAGCTCACGGCTAAGCCACTGCAGATAATACAAAAGATATACCTCGACAAGTCCTTCCATTAGATTCTAGAGAAAACCCACTTCTACAACTACAGGTAAAACTACCTTCATTATCATTACAATTCTGATCACATCCTCCATTATTAGTTAAACATTCATTGATATCTACAATATAAATATATTACATTATCATTACAATTCTGATCACATCCTCCATTATTAGTTAAACATTCATTGATATCTACAATATAAATATATTACATTATCATTACAATTCTGATCACATCCTCCATTATTAGTTAAACATTCATTGATATCTACAATATAAATATATTACATTATCATTACAATTCTGATCACATCCTCCATTATTAGTTAAACATTCATTGATATCTACAATATAAATATATTACATTATCATTACATTTCTGATCACATCAACAGTTAGTCTTGCACTTCGGCAGTAAGTCTTGGATTAAAAGTAAGCCATTGTACCTCAGAGATAAAAACCGTTCCAAATGTAAAATTATTGTCTGTACAGGCTACTGTTCCGGAATGGATAAACCTTTAATTAGGGTCTACTTACTATTGCAGGTTCTACCATTGCTATCTAATGTATAACCATTAAAACATTCACAAAAATAACTATTACCAGTATTCACACATCTATGTTGACATCCAGAGTTAACACATTGATCATTACCTGTAATAAATACAATTTTCTTATTACCATTGATACATACGTACCAAATCCTACCAATTATACTAGCTTGTGTGAATGCAGTTAATAATATCAATCAGCATAGTCAAATACTGCTTCAGTTCCGCAATGTTTTACAATTACATGTACACTTTTTAGAGTGAATGTGAAATAGTGGTCTACTTGCAAACTAAATTCACACCGACTTACTTTGACAAGTCCTTCCATTAGATTGTAGAGAAAATCCACTTCTACAACTACAGGTAAAACTACCTTCATTATCATTACAATTCTGATCACATCCTCCATTATTAGTTAAACATTCATTGATATCTACAATATAAAGATATTACATTATCATTACAATTCTGATCACATCCTCCATTATTAGTTAAACATTCATTGATATCTACAATATAAATATATTACATTATCATTACAATTCTGATCACATCCCCCATTATTTGTTAAACATTCATTGATATCTACAATATAAATATTACATTATCATTACAATTCTGATCATATCATTAGTTAAAATTTCATTGATATAATTAAGATACTACCTTGCCCCGACTGACGCAAGACTCGTACTCAAAACACAATACTGTACCCCAGACGCAAGACTCGTACCCCAAACGCAATACTGTACCCCAGACGCAAGACCGGTGCTACAGACGCAAGACCTGTGCCCCAGACGCAAGAACTGTGCCTCAGATGCGACTTGTGCCTCAACGCAAGACTCGTACCTCAGAAGCAAGACCCGTACCTCAGAAGCAAGACCCGTACTCCAAACGCAAGTCTCGTGCCTCAGACTGTTATCTCAGGCGAAATTGTGCCTCAAAGGCAATATTCCTAATACAGTACGTGGCCGGAGTAGAGGTAATTACTGAATATACATGTATCCACTTGCAAGTTAGAGGTTGAGATTTATAAATTCACGAGAATTGTCATATCTTTATATAAGTATATTGCATTCCATTAATTATATATGTATGGACCTACAGTGTCCACACACAATAGAACTATGGTCAGTGGTTTAGTCTCAATTATTTCGTCTGTGATAGGCCACTGTATATAGGAACATTAATTACTACTTACTATTGCAGGTTCTACCATTGCTATCTAATGTATAACCATTAAAACATTCACAAAAATAACTATTACCAGTATTCACACATCTATGTTGACATCCAGAGTTAACACATTGATCATTACCTGTAATAAATACAATTTCCTTACATACATAAATGGTGCATTTGGCCAACTCTCTCCACAATCGCATAAAACAAATTGTATGCTCTCCAGACTAATAGGAACATTAAGAGGTCCCGAGTACCAATCAATGTACTAATTATTGAAGTATACCTACTTAAACTCGCAATTGCCAATAAATGGTCCAAAAGTGTCCAAGGTACATAACAAAAGTTCATTATTGGACAGTAAACAATGCATATGAAAATCTATTGAAAATTGATGATTATCATTCAAAAGTACATTCATCTCTCCGGCTTACCAAACATACAAGAATGCATGAACGCAGTATAACAATAACATACGCTACATTTCTACATCAGCTGCGTACCTATACATAAACATATACACTTCGTAGTGAGCAAAGACTTTTCCTTTTACTTGCAAACTAAATTCACTCCGACTTACTTTGACATGTCCTTCCATTAGATTGTAGAGAAAATCCACTTCTACAACTACAGGTAAAACTACCTTCATTATCATTACAATTCTGATCACATCCTCCATTATTAGTTAAACATTCATTGATATCTACAATATAAAGATATTACATTATCATTACAATTCTGATCACATCCTCCATTATTAGTTAAACATTCATTGATATCTACAATATAAATATATTACATTATCATTACAATTCTGATCACATCCTCCATTATTAGTTAAACATTCATTGATATCTACAATATAAATATATTACATTATCATTACAATTCTGATCACATCCTCCATTATTAGTTAAACATTCATTAATATCTACAATATAAATATATTACATTATTATTATAATTCTGATCACATCCTCCATTATTAGTTAAACATTCATTGATATCTACAATATAAATATATTACATTATCATTACAATTCTGATCACATCCTCCATTATTAGTTAAACATTCATTGATATCTACAATATAAATATATTTCATTATCATTACAATTCTGATCACATCCTCCATTATTAGTTAAACATTCATTAATATCTACAATATAAATATATTACATTATTATTAAAATTCTGATCACATCCTCCATTATTAGTTAAACATTCATTGATATCTACAATATAAATATATTTCATTATCATTACAATTCTGATCACATCCTCCATTATTAGTTAAACATTCATTAATATCTACAATATAAATATATTACATTATTATTAAAATTCTGATCACATCCTCCATTATTAGTTAAACATTCATTGATATCTACAATATAAATATATTACATTATTATTATAATTCTGATCACATCCTCCATTATTAGTTAAACATTCATTAATATCTACAATATAAATATATTACATTATCATTACAATTCTGATCACATCCTCCATTATTAATTAAACATTCATTAATATCTACAATATAAATATATTACATTATCATTACAATTCTGATCACATCCTCCATTATTAGTTAAACATTCATTAATATCTACAATATAAATATATTACATTATCATTACAATTCTGATCACATCCTCCATTATTAATTAAACATTCATTAATATCTACAATATAAATATATTACATTATCATTAAAATTCTGATCACATCCTCCATTATTAGTTAAACATTCATTAATATCTACAATATAAATATATTACATTATCATTACAATTCTGATCACATCCTCCATTATTAGTTAAACATTCATTGATATCTACAATATAAATATATTACATTATCATTAAAATTCTGATCACATCCTCCATTATTAGTTAAACATTCATTAATATCTACAATATAAATATATTACATTATCATTACATTTCTGATCACATCCTCCATTATTAATTAAACATTCATTGATATCTACAATATAAATATATTACATTATCATTACAATTCTGATCACATCTTCCATTATTAGTTAAACATTCATTAATATCTACAATATAAATATATTACATTATCATTACAATTCTGATAACATCCTCCATTATCAGTTAAACATTCATTAATATCTACAATATAAATATATTACATTATCATTACAATTCTGATCACATCCTCCATTATCAGTTAAACATTCATTAATATCTACAATATAAATATATTACATTATCATTACATTTCTGATCACATCCTCCATTATTAGTTAAACATTCATTGATATCTACAATATAAATATATTACATTATCATTACAGTTCTGATCACATCCTCCATTATTAGTTAAACATTCATTAATATCTACAATATAAATATATTACATTATCATTACATTTCTGATCACATCTTTCATTATTAGTTAAACATTCATTGATATCTACAATATAAATATATTACATTATCATTACAATTCTGATCACATCCCCCATTATTAGTTAAACATTCATTGATATGAACAAAACTATTATCTTTTGAAGGAAATGTAACTAGAGTTGCCCCTCGAGAGCAAAGACTTGCGACTTGCGACTCAGGTGCTTCCATAGTTGTGACATTACATGTGCGTAATATAGAAACATTACTTACTGATACAATTTCCATTGCTGTCCTTAGAATATCCAGAATTGCAGGCCACAGCTGAAATATACAATTATGTTAGAGAATAATATCAATGAAGCGGATACATGCATGTTGAGCGCGCATTCATCTTCAAGACATTTCACATTTTATGAACAAAAGGAGTGACTATGTATGAAGATATGTCATTTCGTGGGAGATATCTATTGTATGTTATACTCACATGCACCATCGTCAATTATGGCTTGCATTGACATGACGTTGAGATAGTTTTCCTGAATAATCACTATTTCATCATTTGTATTAGGTAGATTATCATACACAGCTGAAAACATCAGTTTTCCTTGAGCATCAACTTCTCTTGTAACAGTACCAGTTTCTTGTTCAAAGGTTACCCCAAAATAGTCTAATTCTGTTGTAAACACTTCGTCGTCTATTCGTGTCTGAAATCACATTTGTCAATCTTACTTGATCTCATTTTAACTATTACAGATTACTACATAAAAATCATGTGAAACAGTGGACGCCGAAATGTATTGCACAATTAAATATTAAAAGTAAGCATCATAGGTTACAACAAGTATAACAATACAATTATTGTCTGAGCAAAGTAACAAATTTTTTTTAATTTTCTCATTATTTTTAAGAGAATTGGAATAGCAGCCTCACAATAGTCTTTGCGTTGATAAAAAATATAAGCATGAGCACACAATTCTTTTTTTGGATTGAATTTTCTAGGATTTCTTTTCAAAGTTAACTTACAAAAGATTATATTTTTATCAACGCAAAGGCATTCTAAGAACATCAGTACTATTTTGAAGCTGATATTACAATTATCGGAAAACATCGAAAAAATTCTGAATTTTGATTTCCTCGGACAATATATAACTTACTGGTGCAACTACAAACTCGCAGTTTCTTAATTCTATAATTGCATAGCTTATTTCTCTTACTGAAAACCTTTGAAAAACCGAATCAAAAGCATAAATTTTGAAATTGACAAAGAAATTGCAACTCTCGTGGTAAGAATGACTGAAAATATGCAAAGGGCCACTTCAACAATACTTACAGTAAATATACCTTCTCGTTTTGGAAATCTAGCTGCAGTTTGATATTTTAATTTAAAGGTAGTTTTAGCTCTATTAGACAACTTCGTCCAAATACAAAATCTTGCATAATGGTCCCTCTGGTAGTTTGGTATTGGTCTCACATACATCGAATATCCACGGAGTCTACCACCATTTGGTAATCTATGTTGAACATCTATAAACACTCTCTTAGCATCCTCAAAAGTAAAGGTTCTGTTAATCAATTCACTACCAATCATTTTTTCTGCTGCCCTTGTAAATAAGAAGCCTGAAATCCACAACAAAATTAATCAGCTGGTGAACTTGATTTTATCCAGAAGGTTAATAATTAACATCGTTTTTTAAATTTTAATACTCACATTGAAAGATAAAGGCGATTGTTATCAAACTGAATGGTGTTTCAGCCATTTTGAGAGCAGCGCAACTATGCTGGTTCCAGTAAACTCAACAACGAAACAATCAGTCACTGCAATCAAAAACATAATTCAAGATTTTATTGCTGATGCTCTTTAGACTTCGTCGTTGATGTGTGGACAATTTTCAGTGCAAAATCTGGGTCTTTTTCATGTGTAATTGTTGAAAATGGCGTGCGTTCATGTTTAATATAAAATGATCACACCTATTTATTTTTGCTATAGATCTAATGATATTTTAAGACCAATACAATGTACGACAACATGCACTTTGAGGACCTTTTTCTGAACACCATTGATTATTGAAATGAAAACAAAGAATCGATTCAGATATCAAAGAATACTCCTATAGGCCTAATTATCGTAAATTATAACAAAGATGCAGCTAGTACCTCCACAGAAATCAAATCATTTCCTTATTCTCTAAAGATGCATTACCTGCAAAACACCATTAATTTTTCACAGCCGGCTCAGTGAAGACTCATCACGTATCAAAAGACAAGTGACGCAATAAAGCACGTGCACACAACCATTGGCCTCGTTTCGACTTAATCGATTTAATCCGAAACCCAGTTCATACTTCTGACTTCAGTATGATCAAATTTTTTAAATAACTATGGTACATTGTTTCTTTTCCAATATGCATGAATTTAACGTGTTTATACTTTTGTAGTCTTGCTGAAGCACACAACTGTATATCTATTTGAATTTCCGTTTTAAAGTATGTCCCATATTGTTAAAATTATTTCTATATAAATGCCAATAGAGGGAATAATTCTTGTTTTATGTATTATTTTCTAGTAAAATTTTCTTAAATTGTCAGATTTTCACTTGGCATTTTTCATTAGAATAGTCGATAGTTGGTACAGTCTCAAACAAAACTAAAAAAAGTATAGTTTATCTATAGTGAAATATAACAGAAAAAAATGAGACAAACTAGCGACTAAAGTGAATTTGCATGTGAAAGCCTGGTTTGCTGAAAACTGTTAAAATAACCAAATGGAGGTTAGGTTAATATCCATACTGTGGAAGATGGGGACGGATATGACTGGGCTTAACCAACGTGCTCTCTAATGTTTATAATCCCAAACTTTCACGGGAAAAGACGTTTCTGGCAAAGGGGTGCAACTCGTATCTCCAAATGTAGCCAATTCAGTCAACGACCAGTGAGCTAGCCTCTACTAGAATAATAATCCAAACAATAGAGAACTATGGTGGAGATGGAAATGGACAGTAGACAAAATTTTGGTATCGGAAAGTAAATTATACATGAAAATACTTCTATATTGTGCTTTTAACATCTATCTATCTACTTGATCAAACCGAATTTACTTTAAAATGATTAATTAAAAAACGAAGCGTACTAATTGTTAATTAATTAAGTTTTGGTGTTTGGCTTTATAATGACTCATATTATTTAATAAATGAGCATAAAACAAAATCCGCACTTAATCTGCCATACGTCTTTTTTAGGGATAAAAACTGAAGTTCTTCTCTTGGATAAGCCTAAAAGACTTCACTGATACTAAAGACTAACACAATAAAATAGTCT